TCTTCAAGAAACTGCAGTCCGTGATCTAAGAATCCAAACCGTTCCTGTTTACACCATTTGCAAAGCCAGCTGTTCACTTCCACTATTTTTCCCTCTCTCCCTGGGCCACGTCGTTCAACTGGGAGGACAGATGAGATGACAATTTGTGCATTTAATTGCTTCAATTTCCTGCCCAGAGCCTCGTAGTCTCTTTTGATCTTCTGGAGGCTATTGCTTGCAGTGTCATTGGTTCCCACATGAACCAAGAGGAAGGGGTATTTGTCAGTGGGTTTTATGATTCCTTGCAGTCGTTCAGTTACATCTTGGATCTTAGCGCCGGGAGACAGCACACTTCCCGAGACATCTTGTCAGGCCCACAGATCACTGCTTCTGTTCCCCTCAGTAGGGAATCCCCTATCACCACTACACGCCTCCTCTTAGGTTTGGTCGGGGTTCTTCCGTGAGCTGTCCATTCCAAGGTCGCCTGCACATTCCCTGAGGACTGACTTTGCTGCTCGTCTTCATATACCTGATTGACTGTAATGAGGGAGAGATCCTCAAATGGAGTCTGCTCTTCGTCTTCCAATTATTATTATTATTATTATTATTATTATTATTATTATTATATAAATACAAATGGAGACTTCCCACTTATAGAGATATGAAAGAAATGCAGATCGATCCCCCTCTGACTTATCATGTCTTCAAGAAATGTCAAGGACTCCAGTTTGTGAAGGATCTTCCACATGCCTTTGACAAAATGCAAAGGCTTATAAAATGTTGGCTTCAATATTCCTGGGTGATAAAGGACACTACAGACAGAGATGCTGCTGTTGCCACAAACAAATCCACCAGTTAATCTGATCTTGATTAAGGTCAGTTGTGGGGAGGAGGGAATATTCCCAAGGTATGGTCTGAAGGCATGTAAGGCCACCACTAAAGATGGACAAATTTGCCAATGTTGGGTACCCCCAGCTTCTCATTTTTAAAAACTTCCGTTCATGCTCCTTCCAAAGCAATGTGCAATTTCTCCTTTAAAAAGTGTGCATGAAAATTCCATACCCACTTCTCCTGATATGTGCTTTTTTGCTTTTTAATTTTGCCTAATACCTGGATTTTGGCAAGCAATTTGTTCCAACATTATGTAATGTTGTACATAGTTTTTTAACTTCTATATGAATGTTTGTGAACCCTTTTTGGCTTTAGAGCTGCACCACCAAAGTTCAGAGAGGTGCACATTTTAAAGGATAGCTGTGTTTCAGTTTGGTTATTGGGGAAGAGAAAATCAGGTAAGTTTGCACTGAAATGGAAGCAAAAAAAATTAGCTCCCTCATCCTTAGCCATTCCGTAGCTGAAGCTAAGCAGGTCTGGGAGACTTTTGGAGAACCACACCTTCATTTCCATGCTGAAAGGAAAGTGGGATGTAAATATAAATGAATGAATGAATGAATTGATGTGATAGACTGATATTTTAGCAGGGTGTGTGTGAGAGAAGCGAAGGATTAATAGCACAGACACAGGTTTTCTACTGAGTGTTCAGCAGCAGCCTCTGGTGGCTGCCATTTTGTTTTCCAGAATGCCTCAGACGTTGTGTCATTCCAGAGCATTCCAGCAGCCTCCAGGAGGCCGCCACTGAAATAAGCTCCTCAGAGAAAGGTAATCCCACTAAAGGTGTTGAACAAACAGGATAACGAAAAAGAACTTCTCCAGAGGTATCCATTGCTGACTGCATTCACAAATGGCAGATGAGCCAAATGGAGCCCAAAATGAATGCACTCCCCTGCACTGTAGCTGTGTCTTGGAACATGGAGTGATCACATAGCCTTACTTAAAATACAGCTCCTTTCCATTGTAATCCCTGCCTTCAAAATGTGTATGAACTAGAGACCTTCCCATAAATTCCCCTTGATTTAGAGCTCCTTATCCACCTTCTGGAAATCCATAATTTAGAGAGATATGTCATTGGAGTGTTGCCTGAAGGCTTGTTACATCTACCCAGATCTAACAGAGCATACTGGGATTGACTTTCTCTCTCTGTCTTGAAAAAGCTGGAATTCAGTCTATTAGCTGTTTTTGATGGGAAGGGTTGGGGGTGGGAGAGGGGGAACTGAATGTGGTTACCAGCTGCCTCTGAAAGATCTGATTGGTGGGATTCTTGTCATTTTAAAGAGCTGTATGTACAGTCTCAACCATGGATCAGGTTGCATGCATACACAATTTCCCATCCGGTTAGATATATCTGTAGGCAAGCCTTTTGCTGCATTGGTGCCATTTTATGAAGACATAAGAACCTAGGAAGATTTGCTCCGGATCAGACCAAATGTCCATCTAGGGCAACAACCTATTCTCAGAGTTGCCAAGCTAGATACTACTGGGAACCTGTTCAATATTGATAGCAGTCAGTAGGCATTCTCACACAGAATAACAAGGTGACTTAGGCTAACCCAGTGGTTAAAGCATGATGTCAGTAGCCCTATCCCAAGTTGTTACACTGCCACTTGTTGCTCTGTCACTCTATATTTTTCACCCCTTATACTTCTACGGACTCAGCTACATTAGTCAAAAACAGCCTTTTGAATGCATTATAAACATGCAACACCAGATGGTGCTGTAGAGCACAAAACTTTTCTATGCAATTCTACATAGTGTTTTTTCCTTTTTGTTATAATGATTAAATTTATGGCTTATTTATAGCATCCCCCCATGTGTAGCTCCACCCTATGTTTTCTTGCATAGCTCTATGTTTCTTCAGGTTTATGAGATTTTGCCAGAAGTGTGGTGGATAGAGTTCTGGACTCTAAGACTCTCAGCCTAACCTACCTCACAGGATTTCTGTGAGGATAAAATGGAGAGTGAGAAAAGTGTGTATGCCGCCTTGAGCTCCTTTGAGAATGGGTGGGATATAAATGTACTAATAAAATAAATGGCTCATGAAGCATTGAAGAGTCAGGGTTTGTTTTTGCTAAAGCAGAGGATTCTTTAAAAGCAACTTAAAAATTCAATTCACTTTTTTTTATCCTACCTTGTTCTACTCTAAGGGATGTTGTATGTGCGAAGCAAAGCCCCTCAGAGTTCTAAACAGCATAAGCCTCTGAAGCTGCAATGTTGTTGTTTTTTTAAAGAATTACAAGCAAGAATATTGCAGTGCTTGATACTATTCAAAAATACAATATTCTTTTTTAAAAAAATAAAAAATCCAAAAAAGTCACTTTAACAGAAAATTTAGGGGACTGTACATTCTGGACACATTTAATATATCTAAGTATACCAGACTTTCCTCCTACAGTCCCTTACTGATCACATTTTTTTTCAAAAAAATAATAATCCCAGTATGTTGCTAATCTAATTCTAGCATCAATTAATAACTTTCCTACAACTCATTTGTTTCCTCATTCCCCCCTCCCCCTGGAAATTGTTTAAAGAATAATTGCCTGGGGAAGAAGTGCGTATCGAGGCTAGGAGGCAATTAATGGAATAATCATTTTCTATGCTTTGATTTGAAACAACCTTTCCTTTGTTTTATTGAAGGAAATAACTTGGAAGGAATGGGAGGTTTCTGCTTTCGATGTACTTTCCACAAAGGAAGAGTGTCATTAAAGCGAAATTGTTATTGCTGTCTGGAATCATTCTGGAAGGTGCATCAATTGCTTTTAATATGTTAATACCAGGGTAAGGTCTTGTTTCTCCTTTCGATTTCCACTGACATTGAAAATGACAGAAAGGGTAGGAAACTCACTCTGTCCTGTGCAGTGTCTGGACTAAGTTCTGCAGCTTTTTCTTAAGAGAAGAGAAGAGAGAGAAGAGAAGAGAAGAGAAGAGAAGAGAAGAGAGAGGAGAGAAGAGAAGAGAAGAGAAGAGAAGAGAAGGTTTATAGATCATGAGCTGGTGAGATGGTCAGATAGGAGGGACAGTGGGATCACACTTGCTAGCCACACAACTTCCTTGATGGTGCTCATTGCGTGGACAGGCGGAGTCCCCAGATCCCGAGCGGTCCCCCCCGTCATGTGGAATAACGACTCAAGACAACGTGCTATGGGATTAAATTGGCCACAACTTTATTAAATTTTAAATGTGGGTAGACCTTGGCTCAGGCATTGGGCGTTCTCCCTCCCCAGTTCCCAGCCGGGGACCTAGGGAGCATCAGCGTTATCCAGTGTGGGGGGGGATGGGCCGGCTCTGGAGAACATATGTTCAAGCAGAGATAGCCGCCCCTGTTACGCCGCCGCCGCAGGGGAGAGCAATGACGACCTTTCGGCGTATGGTCAAAGCCTCCCTTCAGAAACCCCTTTAACGGGGAACCCTGGTATCACCACCACAAAGAGGAAGATGGACTAAAGGATTCCGCCCAAGGCCTGATACCGCCAAAGTTGTGACGTTTTGCTACGGGAAAGGCAAAACCTGCCAATGCAGGGAAATTCCTTTCCGGCCCTTTAACAGTGACCTTAACGTAGCAGCGCCCACATACCTGTGAATAAAAGTTAACCTGCAAAACCTGTGAAGAAAAGTTAACCTGCAAAATAAGACATTAACTGAGGGTGGGTAGGGTGGGAGAAGCTCTGGAGCCAAGTGAGGATTCCCAGGTAAGATCCTCCCTCTATTGTGTGGGCAGGTAATCCCTCCCCTACCTGGCCTGGTCTCCTTGGCAACGCTTCCCCAGGTGGGATTGGACAACTGACTGAGGTAGGCGGAGACCTCCAGGTATCCCACCTGAGGGAAGGCAAAGCCAAGCCTATGCTGATGGAGCCGCTCCAGATCTAGGGGCTGCGCGCGTTCACGCAAAGGGCGCCCCCCGTTTTAAGTGGGGAGCGGTCATTTAAGAAGAAGAAGAGGAGTTTGGACTTGATATCCCGCCTTTCACTCCGCTTAAAGAGTCTCAAAGCGGCTAACAATCTCCTTTCCCTTCCTGCCCCACAACAAACACTCTGTGAGGTGAGTGAGGCTGAGAGACTTCAGAGACGTGTGAGTAGCCCAAGGTCACCCAGCAGCTGCATGTGGAAGAGTGGGGAAGCGAATCCAGTTCACCAGATTACAAGTCCACCGCTCTTAAGCACTACACCATGCTGGCTCCCATGGTGATGTCAGGAAAGAGCCAGAATGCGCTGTTTCGTCAGTAGCAGGGGAGGGTTCTGAGCAGGAACTGTCAGAAGAGAAAGACAGGGAAATGACGCATTAAACAGAGCAGGGGGCAGAGAGTAGTCAGGCGGAGCCAGGGATCAGAGATGGTGAAGAGCCCTATAACCCACCAGAGCCAGGAGGAGGAAGTTCAGACTCAGAAAGGGGGGAGCATTCACATCAGCACAGGCAAGGAGGGAAATGAAACGTAAAGATCAAAGACGTCTCGCGAGGTTTCCACACCTACTTTGTTGGAGCCAGAAAAAAGAAGCCACTCCCCGAATCTGACTCGACAGGTTCGGATGCATGATTTTGAACTGTTGCTGTTCTTTTGTATATATGTAATAAAGACTGTAAATATCACGCTGAGTGTGCTGAAGTGTTACTGTGAAGAGGGAACACCACCTTGACATAGCGGCTAACAATCTCCTTCCCTTCCTCCCCCACAACAAACACTCTGTGAGGTGAGCGAGGCTGAGAGACTTCAGAGAAGTGCGACTAGCCCAAGGTCACCCAGTAGCTGCACGTGGAGGAGCGGGGAATCGAACCCGGTTCACCAGATTACGAGTCTACCGCTCCTAACCACTACACCACACTGGCTCCCAAAACCAGCACCATCATTGCTGCACCGTACTTGGCTTGGAGGGCAACAACATCAGCCTTCATAGGCAATTCTTAACAGTGACATTCAACTAAGTCACCTTGGAGAAGACACATTGAAATCAATGGGCCTACTCTGAGCATTACTATATTGGCTATGAGACAGATTATGAATAACAACAGAAATAGTTACTGATCACCAAATAGGCCATAATTAAGGGCGATTTGTGGGTGGGGAAAAATACAATTTAGTATTTTATTGTGATAATTCTGCATTTTAACTTGCCCTCCCCACCATGGTGCCCTCTAGATTTTTGGAACAATAACTCCCACCAGCCCCAGCCGGCATGGCCAATGAACAGGCATGATAGGAGCTATAGTACATCAACATACGTTGATGACCTTTCATGTTGGAGAAAGCTGGTTTAGACAATGTGGTTTGGGCATCCTCTGCTGTCAACAAGCCATAGTTAAGCACAACCAATATGTTGTGGATTTTGCATTCATAACCAGCTTCTTTGTCAGATAGATTACCCCTTATGGATGGATAGCTTTTTCCTCACTCCCCTGCCCAATGAAGAAACTGGCTTCCTTTCCATATTACAAACATACCTTCTGAGCTAAGTATCTGGCCAAATGTCACTGGCTATATCACCAAGACGCTCGTGACTGTTTAAGTTGCGCCAGCGAACGGTCATGACTTTCAGTTCACAGTTTATTCATTAAGTTCCAATCCCTTGAAAACACTGACACCATTAAGGAGGTGCCACATAGAAGTCACGTCTAAAAGAATTTGTGCTCTGACCCTTCATCTCAGCTCACCACAGGCAAACAGTCAGAGAGAGAGCTGGCTTGGCGTTCTGGAATGATGTTTGTTTTTTGCCCGTGAGGTCTCCTCCGTTGTTTTCGTTCAGCCATTTTTCATCCCACCCTTTCAAAGACTGATCTTTTTCTACCTGGGTGTGCTTCATATATTTACACTCCTATAGATCTTTCCTCTCTGTTGCGGTCGTAATTCCTTTTCCCAAGCAGAAATGTATTAGCGGTCGGGGAGTAGAATTGCCAGATTCTAGAGTAAGACAAAGACTTTGGCTTCCAACTCTGACTGTTTCTTTTATCCCTGCCCTCCTTTCCTGCAAAGTTTTCATGAATAAAAGAACCATATGTGATTTATTCCATAATGTGTAAACCAGCTGTTTTGGAGTAGCTGTCTTCATTGCAATAGCCTTACTCCAGGAGTAAGTGTTTTGAGGGCTGTGGTTGTGGTCTGAAACATGATACCATATCATGGAGCAGGGCGGGAGGGAGGATAGAAAAACCAGAGCGGAAAGACAAAAACAAGCACATGCTTATTCTCTTAAAACCATATATGTATGACTTCTGCAAGGAAAGAAAAAAAGAACTTTCTGTAGTGGTTGAATTAGCCTCAACCTCATTTTTAAGTCAATAAAATTGCAATTGAAGCTGTCTTTGAAATGAAACTCTTTTTAGATTTAAGCTCCACAAAGTGGGGGGATGGAAGGAAAGGAAGTGGTTTCCAAATTTTGCAAAGAGTTCATCTTATGCTTATGCATAACTCTGCACATATGAGATTGTGGTTTATCCAAGCTGTGTGATTATTAAGGGAATGGCTTGAAGAAGGGTTTTTGTTTTTTTTAATGCTTACTTTTTTCTGACTTTTTTTCTTTTCTTCTAGTGCCTGTTTGTTTCAGCCAAGAAGCGGCGCTGAGGGAATGACAGAGAGAACTGTGTGAGAGCCTGTTCTCACGGTCCTTTCAAGCTGGCAGGAAGAACCGACCGCTGTAAATATCATAAGAACATCTGATCTTACAACTTTCCAGCTCAATTTCCAAACCAAAGTGGTTTGGTAAAGAATACGGACTTTTGGATGGTAGTTATGGTTGAACAGCATCCGAACCTTTAGAGGCTTAAGAGTTTTGACATCGGTTGGAGGAATTGATGGCATCTCAGTGAGGTTTATTCGTCTTCAGCCTTCTTTTTTTGCCAGTCTTGGAAGGTGGCATCAGACAGCCAGATCAGTTTGGACCAGCACCGTTTTAGGAAGATGAGATGCCAACAGTTGTAAACAGAGTCATCATGGAAGTACAGCATTTATTTAGGGGCAGGGACCAAAAACCCAACAACCTATCTTTGCAAGTTTAAACATTGCTTTCCCTCTTGTTCAAGCAAACACAAGAAATAAACTTGTTCCTTCTTCTGTCCCCCCATCTTCATTTGAACCTCCTGCTCCTAGCACCTTCCAGTTCATCTCTTCCGCAGGCTGATCCCCTGTCTCCTACCACCACTGTCCTGGATCTAAGTCTCTTTCCTCTGAATCACCTGGGAGGGTGGCTCTTGGGTGGGCAGCCATTCCCTGACATAAGATGTCTGACAAACAGAATGTCAACAAGTGAAGCTTTCCCTATAGTTGTGCTCCCATACTAGAAAAGGCCTGTTGGATTTCTGTCTACCACACATCCTTGCTCTTCCCTGCTGCGAATTCCAAACCATTTCATGACTCAAATTCAATGACATGTAAACCTGTTATGCCACCCCATTTTGAACCCTTAGGCTGGCAATACAGCCTTTAGTGCGATTATATAGAGCAAATATGGTTTTTCAGACTGTGTGTGTGTGTGTGTGTGTGTGTGTGTGAAAAAAGACTTAAGATTTACAGCAGCCAAAGTTCAAATGCCCATGCTTGGATGAATTCAAGATTAAATAGCTAAAAAGCAAGTCCCTTATTTTTTGAGCATTTGTTGAGCTGATTTATTTTTACCTCGTAATAATTATAGCAATCTTATCAGCATGGGTCTAAAAGTCACTCCTTCATTCAAGCGAAAAGGATTTGAGCCTTTGGCATGAGTATGCCCATTTAAGGCCACATCCACACCATACCTGGGAAAACCAGCCAGATGGGTGGGGTATAAATATATTATTATTATTATTATTATTATTATTATTATTATTATTATTATTATCATCTGCCTCCAGGTCCAGGGACATATCTAGAACCATACTGAGTCTGCTTAAGCCTTCTCTTCAGAAAGGGGCTATCAGTGTTCAGCTCGCTTGCAGCTGCCTACCCTTCTAGCATTCATCTTCATTGGGCATCTGGGCTGCCCAAGAAATTTTGCTGCCTGAGGCAAAGTATGTTCAGAAACCGACTGGGCTGGCAGATGAATGTTGTTCCAGCACTGGTGATGGGATAGTGCCCTCCACCACACTTGTGTAGAGGAGGTATTACAGGCTGTGTGGCACACATACAGTAGCTCTGTTTTCTGCCAGGGAGCTCAGAAGGAGCGACTGAGGGCCTGCCACTGCTTTCCCACAGCATCTGCCACCTGAGGCAATTGACTCATTTTGCTTAATGGCAGGACCAACCCTGTCAGGCAATGGGTTGCATCCAACGTACAGTAGTGCTACATGAATGTTGTATGAAGGTCCCCAACCTTCTAGAGCATATTTGTTGGGGGGGGGCACATGGCATGTGAGGAAAAGAGAGGAGGGAAAAGTCCCACCACACAAGCAGAAATCCTTGTGCTGATGGGACATGGTAGCTGAATACTGCCCAATGTGCTTTGACTTCCACAGATATCCTTCTCCTCCTTTGCCACCTTAATTGATCATCCAAGATGACTGATGTCCATAGGCTGTGCCTGCACTGGAATCACCACATTTTTAAAAGGCTAGATCATTTTTTTGCTTCCAAGCAATAAATCACCCTCGCCCTACGGTACATATTTGTGCCTGGAGTTAGCAGAACTGCTCAGGATTTGGACTGCCGGACAGCTTTTGTTTAAGCACATGCTTTCAGTCCTCTTAGCGGCTTCACATTTCAAATGAAAATATTTGGTCACATTGATTAACTGTGAGTTCCAAGTTAGCAACACCAGGTATGAAAGGCCTTTTTAAAAAACTGAAAGTGTATCCTTGTGTGGGTTTGCCATTGATGGAGTCCAGATGGAAATGTGACTCGAAAGGTCAGGTTAGTTTTGACCTGGGCTCGTCTTTTGAAAGACCCATTTCCAGCCATCAACACCATACATCTCGCACCGGGCTGCCATAACACCCAAGAAAGGCTTGAATTCTCCACGTTAAGTCTCTAGGAAATAACACTGAGAAATTCACTTCCTTGCAGTGTTTTTCTCCAAGACTCAAAATGGCAGCGGTTTTCGTGTGCTCTGCTCCCTTCGCAGGAAATGGACTCTCCTTTTTCATTTTAAGTGCTCCCACTCTGGCTATTGATTGATTGATTTTTGCTTTACTTGACTTGACAGGATGAGGTTGATCAAACCTGCGCTGTCTGGATCTTGCAGAGTGGAATAGGCTGCAGACACTCGCTTGTGCTTGTCGCTTGTCATATAAATTATATCAAAGTGCGCTGTAAATCTTTTTTCCTTTTTCCTTTTTGTCTTTCAGGGGAATTCCCGTTTTTAAAAAAGAAAGTGGTGATGGTGAAAGGACCCTAAATTCCAAATTTAAAAGAAAAAAAGAATAAGGTATTTGCTTGCCCGGCACTCTCTAAACACAGTGCAGATTTGTAGGGCAAATGCATATTTAGAAAGCCGCACAGTTCATTAATGAGGAATACAGTGAAATATAAGACTATTTACAACAGGAGTGGGAACTGGTGACTCTCCAGATGTTGTTGGACTCCATCAGCCTCAGCCAATGTGGCCAACGGTCAGGAACGCTCATGCTCTAAGCCAGAGATTTTCAACCTTTATGAGTCCACGGCTCCCTTGACCAACTACATTCTTTCTGCGGCACTCCATGGGGCTCAGGAGCCCTGTTATATCACCCCTTGCCTGAAGAGCTGGCAGCCCCTCACCCCTTTTCAAACACCTTCCCTTGTGGAGTGTTCCCTCAGCTCCTCTTCCATCTCCTTGGGAGTCCTCCAGGCAGCTGCCACCCCTCTCCCCATCCCACAGAGACCTGGGAAGAGGATGCCCCCAGCCTTAGCAGCCCAATGGAGAATGGCCAAAGGTGAACTTGAGACAAACAGCTGCACGAGCCTTTGGGAGGCAGAGATACGAGAGGGCTTCAGATGAGGGAGGGGAGGAAAGAGGGACAGAGGCCAGTGTTGCCCACGACACCCCTGACTATCATTCAAGGCACCCCAGGGTGTCACAGCACACTGGTTGAAAACCACTGCTCTAAGCCATTCAAATGGCGCAGCTCGTCATGCAAAGTGAGCACTTTCCACCACAACCCTGCAAACCTCTTAGAAGAAAAGATTGCCTTGAAAGGAGGGAAAGGCACCAGATTCCTCCTGGTACCTCGGTTTTCGGAAACTCTCAACTCGGTTTCAGCACCGAGAGTTGGGGTCAGTTTACAGTTGGAGTCCCTTGTAACCCTTCTATGGTTCTATGATTTCTTGTGGACAGCCTTCTGGAGCCACATGCCAGTAATAGGTGCAGCCAGGGACAAAACTGGGTGAGGCAATATATGTGCTTCTTACTGCTGTGCAATAGACTCCATTCCATCCATGCCAAATTCAACATTTCTACACACATATTATCTCCAACCGGACAAGTGAATAGCATTATCACAGGACAAAGGCACATTTCAACCAGGCACAAGCACTCGCAGAAGGGGCGGAGCAAAGCTGTGAGGGGTGTGGCCTTGAGAAAGGGAGACCTGAGGGTCAGGCAGAGAGGGCGGAGCTACGGGCCTCAAGTTCCCCATCTCTGATCTAGCAGAAGTAAATACAATTTGAGCCTCATTCAGTTTATTGGTGGAGCAAAGGTGGTGTTTAACTCTCTGATGGAAAATAATGAGAAACGGAAGGGCTTCACTGTGGTGTGGCCAAGGTGAAAATGTTTCACATCAACCAGATTTAAATGAATTGATGCAGGCATGCTTTGGGGTTCTAATGTTCAGTCTGTGCAATCCATTAAAATCAGGGGGAGATTTTTGCCTTAGAGTTCAGGTTTTATTCCTATGGCTCTCCTGAACAGGCTGCCTGACTGTTTTGAAGTGAAGAACATGAAACCAAGATCTGTTGAGGAAGCATGGAATGGAACTGAAAAGTATGGATTCCAAAGTCTTGATACGTGCTATTTGACATTTCTGGAAGTTCCCTAAGGATCGCTGTTACTCATGCCTCATTGCTTGACTTTGACATTTGTTACAAAATCTGTCTACCTTGTCCAAATGCGCCCAACATTTCCCAAATATTTTTGCCGAATTTGTGCAGAGTTTTCATTTAAACAAAAAAACAAAAAATCCCGGGCCAAATTTCAACTCAAATAAACATAGCCCAATGTCTGAGTCAAGCGGGATCTATTTTTAGTGTCACAAGGAAATGCCTTTCTTAAGAGTTACAACCTGATGGTTTAGGGTAAAAGGGAACACCGAAGAAGCAGAAAACCTCTTTGTTCATAGATGGATGTTAACTAGTCAGTGCCAGATTTACGTATAAGCTAAACAAGTTATAGCTTAGGGCCCCACTCTCTTCGGGCCCCCCAAAAAATTAAAGAAAAAACCTGGATGTACATTTCCAAAATATAAGATAAAAAACAAATAAAATAAAACCTACATACAGCAACAGTGTTTTGTGTTGTGTAGGCTCCTATGATATAAGTAATGGGCCCTGCCTGATAGCCTGCTCCCTCAAATATCACTGGTTTGCTCATTTCTATATATAGGGTGTCTACATTGTGCATGAACAACATGTGCAAATGGCTTTAGATACCTATTAGGCCCATAAATTACCATATAGCATATATTCAACACAAAAAAACAGCGACAATTTGTTGTTGACAAAGGACAGCTGGACATATAAAGGGCCCCATTACCTTCAGTAGCTGAGGGCCTCATCAAACCTAAATCCAGCCCTGTAACTAGTGCATTTGAGCCGAATCCTGACAAACCAAGTCAACTGATCATGGTGCAGCTCTTTGTTATGGACTTTGAAATAAAAGCAAAGCTACATTTTCTGCAATGTATCCATCCATTCAAAGGTTGAATTTGGGAATAGAATACACAATTATGCACTACTGTATAAGTTGGTTATCAGTCTACAGGATTCGTAGAACCTCAGCTTAGGAATTGGTGAAACTGTCGATTCTGGTTCTACTCATCTTCCCAGCCTTCTGTTCATCACCATTTCAAATAGTCTGCATTTTTTAAAAAAGAAATCCTCGTGAAAGTTCATGTTAGTATAGGCAGCTCACATGTTAGTATAGGCAGCAACCAACTGGCGTACGGGTTACGTTCCC